TTTAAACCTGAATTGTCTTTTGGGTTCTGGTTCCTCTGAACGTAGAAACCAGTAGGAAACATGAGCATGGTATCCACCTGAGAAACCTATACTCTTGAGAAACAAGTCTGTCTTGAAAGCTGTAGCTATTCTTGTATACAATTGTAGTCTAAAAGAAAGGGGTCATTTTTGTGTTTTTACACTGTCTGATAATATAGCTCTCTTTTCCTGAATGGACAACTAGCTAGCTCTGTTGTTCTAGCTAAACTCATGTGCATGGTAAAACAAATGAAAGGAACTCAAAGCTCCATATCCTGCTATTAATCAATGTTTACCTTTTTGTTGTAAATCTTTGTACTTTCACCTTTGTTCAGTTCTCAGAATATGCTAGTGCTTTAGATAAGATAATTCTAATCTTGGATTTTGCAATCAATTTTTGAACGGAAAAAAGTAATATTTTCACTGTTCAATCTTTCATAAACCTTGAACAAAATTGAATCTATGAACATTTTATCCCAAATGATAAGCTGTCTCGAATATATGACAGAGCTTGATGCAGTGAAATATTTTGTTCAGAAGGAATGTCATTCAGGTAGTGGACAGACTTAAGGTGACCAATTGACAGCAAATATCTCCCTAAAAGTGAAATGTGGGGCGATAAGTTCCCATAACTTGAGAATCATTGGAGCACTGGGACCACCATTTTTGCCCAGTACACCAGTTACTCTACTTTTTCATTCTTCTACATAGAGTGATGTATTGGGTCTGCTCACTGAAATATTTTTTTTTTCTTTAAAGTTGTAATATAAATGACCCAATTGCCACAAGTTTGCCATCAGAAGCATTGCTTATTATTTGTATTACCTTTTTTTTATGTCCACTCCTAGGCATATTCAACCAGTTAGTATAGATCCTATGCGGTCAAAGGTGCCCCAGTTAACTAAAAAATGAAAGTAAGTATGCTGCACTGTAAGTGACAAAGTGGTCACAGATGTAAGAAAGGTACATGCGCTATAACACCTGGATGAAGCTTCAGATGAAAGCCCCCCCCCCCATGGCTGTGAGGGAGGGAAGTCTAAAAGTCCAGAGGTCCAGTTGTCATCACTAAAAGAATCAAACCATCAATATGTCCTGACCTCCTAACCTTTAACATGACCCAAACATTTAACCCTCCCCACACCCAAGCATTAAAACAACTTCACCTCAAGAAATTGACTTAACTCCCCATAAAAAAGTTACCCTTAATCTAAACATGAAACATATTCATTAACATGTGCTTAACCGTAATAACTCTAACCTTAACTTGTTCCTGTTAGTCTGTTAATTGTTAACGTCATCCAAGCTAGGAAAATTACCCCCAGCCAAAGATTAAACAGCTAGCACTCTTAAAATTACACTAAACTCAGGAGCTAAATCTTAAAAATGCATTCAAGTACCCTAACTATAACCAAAATGTAGATTTGTGTATCGCTGGGCTGTAGATCCTCAAATAATCTTTGAATTGTTGCAGACACTGTCCTTCTGTCTGGAGGGTGGCTACTTTGGTTCCCCATGGTCCCTGTGTGTGTGTGTTGTAAAGTAGCCACCACTCCAAGCTCGTTCCTGTGATGGACTACAATCTTAATCCAAATTAGTAAACTAAATATGAGATCGTAGTCATCACAGGTGTGAGCTTTGAGCGGTGGCTACTTTAGAACACATAGGGACCATGGGATACAAAAGTAGCCATCTTCCAGAAGGAAGGACAGTGTCAGTACAAGTTCAGAGATGATTTGAGGATCTACAGCTGAGTGCTACACAAATAAATTACATTTTTGTTAACAGTTAGGGTACCTGAATGCATTTTTTAAGATTTGACTCCTGAGTTAAATCTTAATGTATCTAGGTAACCTACCTTATTGGCCAAAGTGCCCCCCTCTGAATCCTTATAGGCTCCCCACCAAGATTTTACAGCCTGATATCCAGGTTTCCAGTAAGAACCTCCCAACACATTAAGCCATCATGTCAAGACAAATGTATTCTGATATCGCATTTACCTTATCATTGCCTATATATGTTTCCCCATTGCATATTTTAACAAAACTATAAACATTCTTAACTCTCTACTGGAGCAGTTTATACTGATGCTAGGTTCTCGGCACTAATTTATTTTGAAATGGGACAGCTGGCATTAGGCAGGGAGGCTTCAAGATAAGCAAGTATGCAGCAGACTTGAGATTAATGTTAAGGCTTGGTTGGGGTAGGTCAGGTGTAAAAGGTTTGCCCAGGTGTTAAGTAGTGAAGTTAAGTGTTAGTGGTGAAGGGATTAAACTATATCTAAAGCCAAACATGTTTTCCTTTTTGGATTGAGTGGAGAAAGGTTAAAAATCACTGTTCATTTATTTTGCCATCTTGCCATTTTTCTCATTCAGGAGATTTCCTTTTGTCTCCTGTCCTGCAGAAAAAAAAAAGTTAGTGAGAGAATATCTTTACAATGTGAGGGAAATCCCCTTTTAGCCAGCTGTCAAGGGAACAGGAGTCCTCATTGGCATATTTACCCTCCTAATCCTGTTCTGGTGGCAACTCAAAATTTTGCATTTACCCTGACTTTCATTTGTAGTGACCTTGGTAATCAGGACAATTAGATAGAATACAGTAAATGTCCCTAATGGGGACAGAGAGATATATTTGCCCTCAATGCTACCTGCACCAAGCTCCTGGCGATGAAAACAATTGTTCCAAAAAATATATACAGAACTATTCCTCTAAAATACAGCACCTTTTTTGGGATGTATTTTCTATAAATCTTTCTGTATACTTGTCTGTATACATTCTCTACCAGCCAGAATGGAGTCTGATAGAGAAAGTATGTGCTTATGCTGGAACAGGAAGTATGATCTCATTGGCCTATTTGTTTCTCCAAGCATTTACAAACAAATACTGATAAATTCTAAGGTGACATTAATAGGCCTCCATGCTTTTTGATTACTGTTGACCATATCTGTTAGACAATATTTATTGTGCAGCCTGGAGACAGCCCTGGCTACAATTACTGTTGAAATAATTCTCCTATGAGGAAACCTCAAGTATCTGTCGGGGCTTTGCTCCTCAGCTAGCTGGCCTGTATCCGCCTGATTAATATACAATCACCAGTAATTGATCAGTGAAACGAGAGACTGGCACAGACTGCCTCTAGTGTCCTGTGACATCTGTGGAATCCAATTATTTGTTCAGATTCAAATTTACTGTTCAATTATTACAGGTTATGCAAAGAGCACAGAGCCCTTTTTTATTTGGTTACATGTACTCCCTGAAATAACCTATTTTTTAAATATTAGTTTTCTCATATGTCTGGACTCTGTTTAATATTGTAATTGGTCTATAGCAAGCCTGATTTACAATCATAAATGTTTTTAGAAGTATTGTAAATTTATCGCAGGTTCCCCCCCCCCCCCCCCCATTTTAGGTTTTTATTTATGTACATTTGGGCTGTTCAATATGAATCTGTACATTGCAGTTCATATTATGGGGGTTATTCACTAAAGAGCCGAAGGATGTAGCTGAACTTTACGCTAATCCTCCCGGATCGCTTCAGCTGCAATAACCCTTTGGTTCAGCCGAACTGAAGGGCTGCTGTAGGCACTATTCTCAGTAGCGAGTAAAGGAGCCAAAGCACACAGTCAAGCCGAATGCATTTCCTTCAGCTCGGCAAAGCCGGTTGGGGAAAATGGTCCGCCGAAGCAGACCAAATCCCCTTTTAAGTTGTCAAAAAAAAAACGCGTTCGGTTCCTCTCCACAATTCCCGTTCTGGTAGGGATGTTAGGGGGGAACCCCCAATGTAAAAAAAAAAGAAAAAAGTGGGGTCCCCCCTAAAATCCCATACCAGACCCTTAATCCGAACAGCAGCCTGGCAGAGCAGGAAAGGGGGGATAAGTGAGTGCCCACCCTGCACCATACAAGACCACATGCCCTCCACATTGGGAGGGTGCTTTTCCAGGAGAGACCCTGGGAAAAGCACCTTGTCCCCATGCCGATGAGGACGAGGGCCTCTTCCCCACAACCCTGGCCCGGTGGTTGTGGGGGTCTGTGGACAGGGGGGGTCATCTGCATCTAGGTGCCCAGTTTCATACAGTGGGCACCCAGATTGCTACTATTGTTACTTTTTTCTTGACTATTTTGTTGAATTTGTTGAAAAATCCCTTTTTTTATTTATTTTTAAAAACAACTTTTTAAACATGTCCAACTGCTGATGCCTGTCAGTTTTTAAAGATTATTGCCTGATCCAGCCAACAAAAGACAGACGAAGCAATCGTTACCTTAGGCCAATGATAAACATTGTTACATTAAATAAACTGCCAGAGCCTTATTTGCAGAATTTGTTGCAGGTAATTTCAGCAGATTTGACGTGTTCATGTACCATTTTTGCTTTAACTATCTCAAATTTGGAACCATTGCACAAATGCTTGCAGACAGAAGCATCAGACAGTCACCACTGTTTCTCACACACAAGTGATTGGCTTGCCTCTTGCATTAGAGGCCAGAGTGTACAGGTAGCAATACACTCAATCAGTATAATCCTTGTAGTAACCCCATTCAGGTCTATTAGGCTGGTAAGGCTTTCACCACCTACTCCTCTAACAAAGTAAACAGATGGGTGAAAGTATGATTTACCGAAAGGTCCTAGGTGAATACAAAAATCTTTACAGTAACATACAATGGGATATTTTTAAGCTAAACGACAGTGAAAGGACTTCACACATTTATGGTTAATATGAGAATTTCTGTTTTTGAAGTTTATTAAGTTGTTTAAATTTCTTATTCAATTTTCAACTTCTGTATAGATCCTGCTACACCTTCCATTCTAATAAAAGAATAGCCTTTCCAGCTGAAACAGTAGAAATTCTATTCCTATATTAAAAACATATGGTTTTCTTAGCTGTGTTGGACAGCAGATTTTTTTAATGCTTGTTGTTGTTTTTTTTATACAGTCTTTTTTATGTGAAATTTTAACAGGGTAATTAATTGCTTAAATTCTGTTGCAGAAACAGTTAAAGGATGAAGCAAAGAAAGCCATCAGTCATCTTCAACTCCGCACCATCAAGCAAGGAGACATGGTAATAATAACAGACATGCCTTTTCATTATTGTTATATGTGCTACATTACATGTATGATCATTGTCCAAAAAATAACCCCATTTTGTTGGACAATGTAGGCCATAATTCTCTTATGGTTCGATCTTTTTTTTATTACCATTCTTGCATAACCATGTATATACATAATTCTGTGTTGAAACAACCTGGATGGCCTGTTTTAAAGCTCAAGCCCAGTCACGAAAATCTACATTTAAATATAATCCCAAATCGCCACAAAGAATAGAACTCTCTCTACTATTTTAATAGTGGTTACATCATCACTGTGCTGTGCAGAGGACAAAGTTGTTGGATGGACCCACAGGGTCCTCCTGCTACAGGCTGCCTGTAGAAAACTATGGGAGGGGGCAGATACAAGACCAGTCACCCTGCACAAGGTGAGAGCAGCAGTTCAAATGAAGCTTATTCCCAGGGGCAAAGTGGATTACTGCACAGATCTGCAAGAAATGCTCGATGGACACCCAGCTTCAAAAAACATCACTCTCCTATTTAGGCAATATTTTTAGACAATATTTTCTTATGCCAGAGTTCAGTTTTAACAAGCAGACCTGGTTGGTTTTCTAGCCAACATAGACAGTGGCCTAGGATGACAGGGGTGGCAAACGGCCACCCACATATCATGTTTTTTTACTCGGTAACATATTCCCAAGTATAATAATCCAGACTGTCACCTGTCAGAGCAATGTTGCTGGGTCGTCTTTGTTGCTGTCCCTGCATTGTACATATATATTGGTGGAAGAATTGAATGTGTACTGTATTTTACCTTTCACCCATCTCTGGCTCCATACACCTAGAACTAGTACACCTTACGTAGGTGTTACAGGGCAAGGGGTTAGGGGTAAGTTGGGGAAGGGTAGAGATAACCACCAGAATGCCAACGAAATACACAGATTGCATGCATACATACATGCATGCATGCATACATACATACATACATACATACATACATACATACATACATACAGTATATGGGAGCTATTTAAACTGCCAAAGAATTAGAATTTCTGTCCATGCACTTCTGAGATTTACACAGCTTTGCCAGACAGCACAGCCTTTTCTGGCAGGGCATGATCCCTGATTTTGTCTGCTGCAGTTAAGTAACACAGTTCTTGCCCCTTTCTCCAACCTGGGACTGGACATTGAAAGTAGACGCAGTAGACTGTAGAGCTCTCTGTCACTCTATTAGCATGTTAATGCATGAGCACTGAAGCAAAAATGAATGGCTCTCGGCACGTCCCTTCACACTCCCAGTATCTGTGCTGTTGTATAGGGGGATTGCCAGTGACCAAATCAAATTCAGGTACTTGCACTGCTTGCATTTGGAAAATGTAATCGTGAATTAATGAATGCAGAACTGCACAAATGTTTCTTAAATCAACTTGGAGTTCAGCTTTGATGATGCTGATAGTTACTTGTTGGATTAAAGGAAATCTGTCATCTAAGAAATATAGAAACTGCCATTTCTGACCCCTCCTTCTATGCTGGTTGCCCGGCTGTCCTACAGGGCTGCTTACGTGAATACTTTGAGTTACTGGCTTATAACAAGCAGATAAAGACTACTGATTTTCCTCTGACACTTCTGATCTTCCTTCTAGTTCCAGGCTCACTGACAGTGAGAAGGTTTTGAAGCCAGTAGGTCAGCATAAGGCTAGGTTCACATCTGGGCGATCCGTGCACAAAACCGCGTGGATTGCTGGGCGGTCACGGAGTCGCCCACCACAGCCGATCGCGGTGCCATTATTTTTTAATGGCACCACAGTCGCACTGGGTGGATCGCGTGGTTTCCCATGCGGTTTTAACACTAAAGCCGCGTGTCACAGCAAGATAAATGTACCTTTTTTCAGTGATAGCCGCATGAAATCAATGCGGCAGCGCGGCAACTGCTGTGTGCATTAGCACACGATTGCGCGGTCCCGGGATGCGCGTCCCGGGTATTGCTCAGATCTAAACCTAGCCTCAAAGCAAGGCAACTGGCATTTTCAGAAGGCTGAGGTTTTTTTGGAGAGGCTTGTTTCAGATATTATATGTGCAGAAAATTGCACACTGTGCTATCAAGGCTGCAAATCAATCACTCTTCTGCCATTCCGAAGCACTTCAGAGTAAATAATTACCTTCTAATTATCTTTGACATCACAACAGCTAAGGAGTTTTGTAACCCAAGTAATTACCTACAGTTCAGTGGATTAAAGTGGTTTAGCCACTTCTGAGCAGTTAAATTGGACGGAGGATATGACACTAATCTCTTACAATATCCTCATTATTAGAGCTAATGCAGCTTCACCCTTACCCTGTTCTAGTATGGTTTACTACATGTCCTCATGCTCTGGGCAAGCAGTGAATTAGAGAAATGGGTCCTAATGTGTGGGACATTCCCTCAGTGTAGGTTTGACACTGCAAGGGCCTCGGTTTCCTGTGCACAACTGCCTTGTGTAGTAATACACATCAGTGATATGTGGGTGCTCCCCCACCCCATATATTTAGGATGTAACCCTTGTTTACTCTAGGGATATATATTACTCCTAATGATAACTAGACTCACTAAGCCAATCCTCTTCTCTGGTTGTGTCGCCTCCTCTTTTGCTGAGGACCTCATTAAAATGCAGGACCAGCGGCCACCACTGTTCCTACATTCCATGTGACAACTTTGAGGTTCTGCCCACGTTTTGTGGTGAGAAGAAAAAAGACTGCAGCAGTGGTTGCCACCAAGACCAGTGGTGGGCAACTCTGGCCCTTCAGCTGTTGTGAAACTACAAGTCCCATGAGGCATTGCAAGACAGTTATAGGCATGACTCCCAGAGGCATGTTGGGTGTTGTAGTTAAAGCACAGCTGGAGGGCCAGATTTGCCCACCCCTGCACTAGACCAAGGAATGAGGTAAGTATTACACACAAATATATCCCCTTCATTCAATAACAGCTTAGCATCTGCCTGTGGAAGTTGTGCCTGTGGCTACAATGCCTCCATAGGATTTTTAGTTGTATCCCTAGACTAAGCAAGCATTATACCCTGAACATATGAGAGGGGGAAGAGTCACCAACATGACATTTTTTTTTTTTATAAAGGTGCTGGAAGTTTTAGCTATAACCACTGCAAGTCTTTCAGCTGCTTACCCCATATAGGCCTAACAATTCTCATATTTCAGATATGAGACGATTGATTCAGATTTCTTTTATATTTTATATATTTTTTAATGCATAAAAGTTAACACAAAAAAAAACGTTCATTCAGTGATTAAAAGAACTATTGATGCTGTAGATACGAAGTACAAATATGTCCCTGTAACTTGCTCCCTCTCACAGTCTAAAATGTTTCTTTTCATGGCATGGTATTTTTTTACAAATTAAGGAAGAACTTTTAAAAATGTAGAAACATTGTTTTATGACTCCGAAGAAGGGAAATTAATAAAACAAATGCAACAAAAATTAGAACATATTTTAAGAATTGAGAACTTTTATGGAGAGAAGGGGATGAAGGAGTTAATTTGGCATAATCGGGAGTTAAGTTTCCATTTCTGATGATAATAATACAAAATGTTGTTATTATTATTCAGGATTTATATAGCGCCAACAATTTGTTCAGTGCTTTACAAAATAGCGGCGATAGTACAGTTACAATACAATTTATAATACAGTTTCATAACAATAGGGTTGGGAGGGGCAAGTGATACAAAAGGTAATAGTTGTTTGGATTGAGTTATTGGAGAAAGTAAAAGGCAGTTATGTTGAGATGAGGTAGGCTTCCATGAAGAGATGGGTTTTTAAGGACCGCCTAAAGGTGGGCAGCTTAGGAGATAGGCAGACAGAATGGGGTTCAGACAGACAGAAAAGGAGTTCCAGAGGATGGGGACACTCTGGAGAAGTCCTGGAGGCAAGCGTGGGAGGAGGCAATTGGAGCGCTAGAGAGCAGGAGGTCTTGAGAGGACTGTTTGGGTGATATTTTGAGATGAGGTCAGTGATGTAGGTTGGGGCGGAGTTGTAGATTGCTTTGTATGTTGTTTGTTAGTATTTTGAATTTTATTAGTTGGGCAAATTGGAGCCACTGCAGGCTTGTATTTAAAGTGACTGTCTAAAAAAAAAAAAAAGCTACTTATACTAGTTGCTTTCAAAAAGCGTACATAAAACCCTAATCTATTTCAGTATGTTTGGCATCCTGACTCAAAGAGGCCGAAGCTCAGCCTGCAACAGGAAGTTGTCAGGATCTCCTGATAAAGTTTTCAACTGAATGACAAAAAATATGATTTGCTTAGAAGTTCTGTATACAGTGAGACATGGTGCTATCATACTGAAAACTAGATTGTTACAGGTTTACACACATATTCATAGTTTAACACATACCGGCAGGAGAGTTTTTTTCATTGTATTTTAATTGGCCTGGAATTCGGATTTAAAGGAGGGGTACTGCGAGTGCAAAATATACTCTTCCCAATGGCCAGGGTGGGAACACTGCAGCTGTCACACGCTTGCTCTATAGATCGAGAACTGAGTGATCACAAACCGATGATCGCTCAGCTCACGGCTTCTCCCTGCAGAGAGCGACGACTGACAGTGGGATTTCCCCTCACTGTTTCTCCAGTGTTCATTGGAGGGACAGA